GGCCGCTGAGTGCCTCCCGCCCCGCCCACCGGGCCCAGCGCCGCCGCCATCAGTGCACGAGAGACGCCCCCGCCGCAACATGGAGGCCGTGAAAGCCTTCAACAGCGAGGTGGGCGCCGGGGCCTGGGCGGGACGGGGCGGGGGGGCGCCCCCATCTCCTTGCGGGTGGGGGAGGCTTCCCGCCCCATGTCCTCGTCCTGCTCCTGCAGGACTGGGGTGATGAATGGAGGAGTCGGCCTGGCCTGGCCTGGCTTGGCTGGGGAGGGGTGTGTTAGGGATGTTTCTCCTTCCTCTTGGGTAGGCCTTGTTTTCTGTGGGAGGGGGGGAATGCGTCCTGCACTTTGGGGGGGGATGGGTGTCTGAGGTGAGCAGGGGTGGGGGGGGAATTGGTGGGTTTTTCAGTCCTGTGTTGTCGTCCCCTGAATGGAGGAGTCGGCCTGGCCTGGCCTGGCTTGGCTGGGGAGGGGTGTGTTAGGGATGTTTCTCCTTCCTCTTGGGTAGGCCTTGTTTTCTGTGGGAGGGGGGGAATGCGTCCTGCACTTTGGGGGGGGATGGGTGTCTGAGGTGAGCAGGGGTGGGGGGGGAATTGGTGGGTTTTTCAGTCCTGTGTTGTCGTCCCCTCTCCCTTTCCTGCTGCCACAGCCGTCTTGGCCTCTCCTCCCAAAGCACATCCGCATGCCCCAGTGCACATGTGAACATTGCTTTATTTTTTGAGTGGGGAAAGTGTGTAAAGGTCTGCAGGGCCTTCCTGCTGTGGAAAGGGACCGTTCCCAGTGCCTCCAAACCAAAAGGCAGGTTTTCCGCCTGTTCACGGTGTCAATGTGCCAACCTTGGAGGTGGTAGGAAGGCCTGTATATCTGCACCTACCAGTCAAGATGCTGAAGCTGCTCCTCTCTCTCCTTTTTTTGGTCAGGATAGCATTGAACAGTGCTGGTTAAAGTATGGTTTCCTGGTGTGGGTTTCTTTAAATTTACTCTTCTCTATGGCAGGAGTAAACAGTTCAGTTAAGAAGTTACATTGCCAGTGAGAAAGGAAACTTGATTTTCCTGCCATGAGGCCAACTGGGAAATGTGATTTTGTTCATATTTAAAAGGTAACCTACATGAAAAGCAGGAAAGGTAGTTTAGTTTTTGAATATTACTATTTCTCATACCTGTATTTGCATATGCAGATATACAGCACTAGATTTAAGTTTCATACAAGCAAACGCCTACTCTGGATACTTTCAGAAAACACTTGGTTGCCTGTCTTGCTGGGATCATTTGACCCCTGCTGACTTCCTGCCTCTCGGGCAGGGGCTGGACCTGATGATCTTCTGAGGCCCCTTTCAGCCCTAATGTCTATAAAATATAGACTGTCTTCTCCAGTTCTTCAGAAAAGGGGGGGGGGGTGCCATGTCCCTTATTTCCACCCCCCTCCTGCCCTGCACATGAGTAAGGTATCGCTTTATTTACTCCAAAAAGTATCCAGTTACCTCACAAAATAACCGTTAGGTTTGGCTTTGAGTAAAATGCCTAACATTATTAATGATACCAACCAGAACTAGAAGATAAACTATACTGTACCTCTTAAATATAGTAAATGAATAGATCTTTCGGTAGATGTGATATTTTTTTATTAGACCAGCTGAAATAGAAGCACTTGAATAGCTGCATCTGACTTCTATGTTTCTGTTTAAGTAATCTGAACTGTAAATGGTGGTTTTCCCCTCAGTTCAGCCATTGGAGGGAAATCTCACTAGAAGTTGGCTCTCAAATTTGATATTTTATTTTTGTCAGACTGCTTATATTTTGAGAGGTGAAGAAGAGAGTTGTCACAAGAACAGAGCTACATCCAAACATTGGTTTAGAATCTCAAATGCAACTTCACATGTAGAAGTAAAATCCTTTAGTTTCTTATTGAAAAACACAAGCTCTTAGTTTTGCCAGCTTAATAAATACTCAAATGTGGACGTTTTGTGTCTCCATCAGTTCTCCCTGTAGTTGCAAAAAAATTAAATTGAGAACTCTCCTGGCAAAGTAGAATTGGGGAGGCTTTCTTACCCCTCTTTCATCCTAAAAAAAATATAAACTGATTTCCCTTTTATGAGTAAACTTTGTTATTGTGAGATTATTACTCAGACTTTTTTTCTGCTCTGCATTAATCTCTGCTTTTATATTTGAATATTGTGCAGCAGTGATAGGGTATTTTTTAAAAAATCTATTAAAGATCTGATTTCAGAATACTTTAAAACTTGTATTGGGTTTTGGTGCCTTCAACATTAGGCAGTCATGGGCCAAACTTTCATAGCTTTTTTTCCTGCTTTCCTTCCTGTCCAGTGCCCATTCCCTCTGCCCCCTCCCAAAAAAACGCACCACATGCAAACAGAAGTGCAGGATTTGCCCCAGCTTACTGTCCTGTGGCTAAAAGTGATCTTCATAATTGCTTTTGCAGACCTATTTATGAGGACTAATAAACTGTTACATTCTGTAACTCAGGCATCACTGTACCCAGTAATCTAAATATTTATGACTCAGTTGTAGACAAAAGCATAATTTTTTATGGTTATAGTAACTTTCTAGTAATTTACCTTTTGGGCAAATTAATTCAAGAGGTGAATTTTAAATTTGGCAGCAAATACAGTAGGCTGAGTTATGTAGAAAATATCAAATATTTCTCACGTGCATTTTGAGTTCAGTTCATAATTTCACAGCAGTTTATGTAGCTTTGCTGGTTAAGTCCAGATGCCAACTTTCCAAATAAATTAAAAAACTTGGGGCTACTGTTCTGACACTTCTTATTTGTATAAATTATCTCCTTCGAAGGAGAAGTCAAGTTCTAAATTGAAGCCAAAATTTAAAAGCAGCTTTTTGGCCAGTTAATTAAACAATTTTAAATTTAATAGGAGGTCAGTATATATACCACACAAGGTCATGTATTGCATGCATCTAGTATTGGGTAACACTGGAGTTTGCTTACAGGAGAAAATTTCATTTCAAGGCCAACGGCTTTTTCTATGTAAATGTTTACCAGAGAAGTAATGTCTACTATTGTAAAATATGGTGTTATGGTTGGTGGTACTGATCCCATTGGTGAGTACTACAGGTGGATGATTGATTGATTGATAGATTGGGCTTTAAAAAAAATCTTGAGTATTTAACTCTATATGTTCGGTCTTAATATAACAAAATGTATGTATATTTAAAATCTTGAAAATTTACCAAACTATCTACAAAGTGTTGTTTTATCACGCTATGATAAAATAATTCATTTTACTTGACAGACGAATTAACTTGTGTAAGTGGAAAAAATAAGTTGCACGGCTGATGATTTAAATTTTTTCACCCTACTTGCGGAATTTATATTTCCCTAGTTGACTTTATTAACACTAATTGTGACTGCTTAAAGCAAGGGTAGGCAAAATATAGCCCACGGGCCAGATTTGGCCTGCCAACTGATTTGGCTACGGCCCCTGGGCAAGCGCCGGCCAATTGATTGGAACCAGCTCATAGCACTCCACGTGGGGCTGAGCTCTGCTTGCTGCTGCCCAGATTAGCCCATACTGTGCTCTTGTCAGCCCCAGCACAACCAGCTTGAGCACCTGCAGCTGTCTAGGTATTGCTTGGCTCTGTTTCTCTCCTAGGGGCTCCTCCTCCTCTGGCATCTGCTGCCACAGGTTGGGGTAGGGAGGGGCAGGGAACTGACCAGCTTCTGCCCCAGTCCATGGGAGTGGTACAGCAAGGGCTGGAGGAGAAGGAGCCCCTGAAGGTGTGGGGAGCTGAGCAGCACTTAGGGAGCTACAGCTGCACTAGGAGCAACCCTGCGGAAATGATGTGTGCACTGATCGGGTGTGGGCAGGAGTGCTGACAGGTTGCCCTGAGCAGGAGCAGGCAGTTTTCGGCCCCTCGTGGAGTGCTGGGTGGGGCAGGACTGCATATGAACTGCCCAGGTGAGCTTTTTTTTGTGCCACTACTTCCCAGGACCTAGCATATAGGTAGGTAGCCCCCCACCCCACACATGCACCCCCACTGCACATGGTATACAAGACTAAGACTTTTTATTTTGAGCTGTTACGCAGTCACAGCTATACACACTACTCAAGCCCCATAAATTAGGACAATTTTCTAAAATAAAATTAATATTATAACATGTTTGATTCTTTTTTTTAGTATACAATTTGTTTTTATCTATAATTTGCTAAAACAGTACCACCTTAAAGAATTTTGTGTTTGCAGCCCTGGACAACAACTTCAAAATTCATGAAGTGGTGGGCCCTCCAGCCAAAATAATTGCCCTCCCCTGACTTAAAGAAATGCTCTTTTGCAGGTCTTGGTTGTTCATGAGGTTTTCCTGGCACATGCAAACCTTAAAGTCAGACAAGCATTGGTTGGGGAAAAACATCTTTTTTTGAAGTATGCATTGGAATTTTAAGGCTGTAAAGAGCAAGGCTTTTTTTTCTGGATTGTTTTTGGTTTTCATGTTCTATTGGACCAGCTGTATAGTTGGCAAACTTTTAGGCACAAAGTGCCCTTTGTCTTCGTGCCCATAACCTTGTGTAATGTCTCTTCCAACTGTATGGCTGTATTGCCAAAAACCTCCTTTTTGGTTTTTTAAATGTTTTCTGGACCATCATGGTTACAACAACACTCAAACCCAACTACAAACCTGCAAAAGTATCTCGTTAGTCAAGACTTGAGATGTAGAAATGCAGTCCCAACAGCAAAGGGGGGCAGTCCAGTTAGAAGCTGACTTTATAAATACAAATTTGTT